TGAGAGTATCTCAAAATGCAAAGCATTTCAAACATAAAGAGTACTGAACGTAATAAAAAGCAAACTTAACAAGAAGTAAAGCTATTAACTCTAAATTGGTAACTAATATTTTTAAATGTGCAAATATTAACTCCTCAATCACTTAACCAAACTGCATTAAAAAAATAAGATTTTGAATTTAAAGGGCAAAAAGCTTATAAATTCAAATTTATTAGAATTCACCCAACCCTAAGGTCAACTCTATTGCTGGTTGACGACTGTAGATCCCGCGGGGCTCAGAAACAGAACTAGCTAGTACCTATCAGCCTGGATCACAGGAGAAAAGAACATCTAAAATTCCTAAGTCTCACTCAGTCACTGTGTTCATTCGCTCATCAGAGTGTTTTTAAGAAAAGACCAGAGGTTTTATTACTCTATTTTTTAAAAATTAGTTAAGTGAATTTTTAAGTAGAGACTTTAATGAGGTCGTACTAAGACTTCACAACCTCGAAGCACAGTGCCATCCCCCGAGTTAATTAAAACCACCAAGAGCATTTACAGTCCATAGACAGAAAATACAGAGTACTTCACTTTTTTTTTAAAGCATCATTATTATGATATTGAATAAAGCCTTAAAGTCATTTACGTACGAGTCTTAAACATCCGCTAGCTAGTCTGGCACTTGGATTTCTAGCACATCGTGCCTTAGAGAAATCTTACTGGGAAAAATGATTGCCTATGAGTTATTACTATGACGCAGAAAAATCTCAAGACACCTACTGGATAATGACTGGGAGGGAGAAACTTTTGGAAACTGGTCATTTTAACTGTAATGTACCCTCTTAGACGGAGACTAACACTAAGCCAAGTACGGGCTCTGCACTAATCCATTCCTCATGTCTTCTTTGCTCAGTCAGGCATTTAGGTCTTCACTACAGAGGCTGCTCAAACTAAAGCTCTCTAAAGCATGAGTGATTTATTAAGCTGCATGCCAATTATCTTCTATCTCGTGATTAAGATCCTCACATCCCCCAAGTTATTACATCTAAGTGTACAGTCTCCTGTAATAAAATGACTACTACCATGGCTAAGGTCAATTTACACTAAGTAAATGACCTCCTCTAATAACCACAGGTTAATAGTTCTGTATTTAAATGAGTAAAAGTGTCTAGGAAAAAGGCCACAAAGCTGTGCTCAAAAGTTTCTTCCGTGACTTCC